CAATTGAGTCTTCCATGAAAACCAAATTGATTTGCAAATGAGTGTATTTCTCGAGATCCATGCTAACCTGTTTGAAGTGAGGTTGGGCGATCGAGATGTGTTTTTGTGGCTGAACAAGTTTAGCCCGACCGGTGGCAGGCTTCATTTCACATGATAGATCACGTGATCGTGGTTGGTTCCTCACAGATATCATTTGCAAGACAAGCCCTGTTGCCCCATGATCCGTTTTGACACTGTTCTGAAAACGGTCAGCAGCTATAAAACAATACCCGCATGAAATGCATTGCACACCAATTTACTTCTAACGAGAGACCCAACTGAAATCCAGCTGAATCTCTCGGTCGCAATGTTCTTCAACTGTATCTGCTGCAAAAAGACCGCTTCATGTTTTAGTTAGCACGATATCACGGTGTATTTTTTTGAAGGAAACTGTCGAAGAATTTTCAGCAACCCTCTGAGTAGTTTCCTTCATCAAAATGCTTAGAGGAGTTTTGTGCACGTGTTAGAACTTGCACTAAGTGGTCAATGATTTCATTTTTGGAAGCCAATCACACGTTCAGTTTATCAATCTCATCTGATATTGCAGACGATGAGCATACTGACATCAAGTTGATACATGAAGCAATGTGGGACTGTGTGAGACCACGGTGTCTTGTAGCCTGACCACTGGTGAGAGGTACTCTTGAGATGTGCGCTAACACTGAGTGGCGCTTTCTCCTTCCCTGTTCTTCCTGAGTTGCTTTTTTGACACCCATGCTTTGATCCCCAAATGAAGCCCGGCTGAACCCAAGAAGTTCCACTTTTCCATAGGTATTGTACAATCAACTGTGACGACTTTTTCATTGTCCCATTGAAAAAGTTTTCTTCATATTGATCAGGAATTCTACTCCCCCGTTCTTATGTAAATCGCTCTTCCTGGTGCTATCGTTACTACTGCAGCAATTCCGACCGAATAGGTTAGTGGTGCAGGTACAGAGTTCTTATGAGGTCATAGGAGGTCATGACAACAACAAGCATTTTACATTTTAAGCCATATTTATAGCATTGAGTCAAATGGTTGCATCAGTTAGTTGGTGTTGTACACACGAACCACGTACAGTTCATTCTTCAAGCGCGGAGAGAACTTTACCTGCCTCAGGATGGACGAAAACGGGAGTGGGCTGTCTAAGAATTTGCAGCCGGTTATGCCAAGAAAATATACTACCTTATCCCGAATAGCGTACCAGCTGAAACATGAGGTAGCCTCTGTGTAGCACGTTCAATTGAACAATATCATACATGTGATTCAGCTGCACTTCAGTTGAGTCTCCCGTTAACACCAACTAAATTAACAATTGAATTTAATTCCACAAGCTGAGCTGTTATTCATACACCCCAAACCTTGCAAGTCTGACAGATTTTATAATCAATGTTAGTGTTTGCAAGTTGTCGCGACTACCACAACAAGATATTGAGCCGTAAGCACCGTTAGAAATTCATAATGGATGATGAACGTTTGCTCGCTCTGTTTGGGCCAATCGGCCGTAGGTGCGTGCGCACGCGCGTGAGTGTGTCCAAACGTGTGCGTTTACAGCTGACCAATCGAGACGAGGACAGCTGTTGGGACGCGGACCGATGTGCACATCAGGCGCACTCACCGCACCGACGTCTGTGTGCGTCACCCTTACGCGTTAACGTGCACATGTAGGCAGTCATAATGGCACGTGTACGTCGTGCTGCCAGACTGAGCGCTTGATATTGTGGGGCCTTGTCGTGCGCATGCCACAAACTTTCGAGGCTTTCGGCTATTATGCACAGACCCGGTAGTCCAGATGTGAGCTGGACTGTCCACCCAGTACTATGGTCCTTTGTTTCGGCCGTACACCTTCCAAACTCCAAACAGAACCCGAAGCAACAATGAGACGCGGTCCCAGATGTGCCACTGAGGACGCGCTGTGGTACATGTTTGGGTGTGCAAGATCCTCGTCACGGTCATCTCTCAGCTGTTCCAGCTTTGGTTCTCGAGCGAGTTCGGATGAGGAAAACTGTGCGCCCGAAAAGATTCGACCTATTTTGGATTATCGATGTACACCACCGTTGAACAGATCACTTTTCAAGTAAGTAGATTGTAATTGAAGTCGTCCAGGTTATGCAACTGTACTGGAGGAGGTAGACATCATCGGAGCGCCTCGGTGCTTGATAGAAGACTGGCGACTGGCCGCATTAAAAAAGCCATATCCATATTCGTTTTCATGTTGTCCAGTTTATCCACTGTCTTGTTCCCGCTTCACCTGAACCATACCGAGGCCGCGGTGTCCTGAGATGTAATTCTGCTACTTTGTGTGGCACAGGACTGTTCGAAAAGTTCGTGCTTTGCGTGACATTGTACTGATGAAATAGGCCCAGGCACTGAATCGCATTCATGCAGTGTTAGCGTACATTGCCTAAATAAGTTAAAATTGAAAGTTGTCCGTTACTGTCAGTTCTGCTTCGGAACAGCGTCCAACTATCCGTTAACGGGGGTGGAAGCAATCCCGGTTCTTGTGGCATGCCAAATAAACAAAGACCGCTGTTTAGACAGAACATGGTACTCATAAGTTGCTGAAAACTTCTTGACAGCCCACGACCGGGTCATTCTCGCTCGGGGCCTTCGAACGGGGGTGGAAGCAATCCCGGTTCTTGTGGCATGCCAAATAAACAAAGACCGCTGTTTAGGCAGAACATGGTACTCATAAAGTGCTGAAAACTTCTTGACAGCCCACGACCGGTTTCGTCATTCTCGGGGCCTTCGAAGAGTTTTCAGCCGCCGTCTGGACAGTGATTTATTGACTGTCCTACCAAATGAAACGTGAGGCGACCTTGTGCAGCACATTTGGTGACGTCTGTGAAGTTTCCCCTTTCGGTTTTCATGCGCTTGGAAGGCGCATGGAGCTCTTCTTGAGAGGTTTCTCGGCTCTTGGTTCATCGTCCAACTTTTTAGTAAAAACCGCACTTCGAACTGCACTCAACAAGTACGCTATCCGTCCTTGACCTGCTTTCCGGCTGAATACCACCATCTGCCAACAGTTAAGTCCTTTAGCTGTTAGCCGAAAACAATTATGTTGTCGCCAAAACAACAGTCAAATTTGAACAAGCTCACCATGGCAACAGTTGCAAATCTAATTGGTCACTAAGTGCGACAACCAGCACACCGACACGTTGAAGTAAATGTACTTTGAACTGAGCAGAAGAATCTGTAGTTTACATTGAGCTCATCAACTAAAGTCTTGTTGACGCAGCCCTATGAAATGAACAAACTCTAACAGTATGTGGTTGGAATTTTCGCTTACACCTTGGGGGTGGTAACACCGACCAAAGTAGACTTCAAATGGGGATTTTTTTATATCAACAGCTGATACTAATATAAGTGCGATGGGTACTGATCGACCCAGCCAAATAACTCACATCAGTTCATTTCACCGCACTCTGTACTGTCACATGTAAGACACTACTCATAAGGTTGCTGAAAACTTTGACAGCTGTTGACCGGTTTCGCCCGGTTACAACTCGGGCTCATCAAGTAGGCACAGTCCCCAAGTTTCCGTCAACCTCATGTTCTACTTGGACCCAGATTCGAAAGAATCTATGAAATGCTCTCATCTTGGTTTTGACAAGGCACTCAACTGAACCCAGCCGAACTTCTTGTTTTTGATGTTCTTATGCAACTGAATGTGCTGCACCAGACCCCTCCATGTTTCAGTTGGTACAATATTCGAGATTTCGTGATAGTTTTTCGTCTAGATATAACAGATTGTCATTACGTAACACATGGACAATCGATCTCTGCCCAACTTGGATTTAAATCGAACAAGTCCAACCCCAAGGAGGGCGAAACCTGTCGTGGGTTGTCGAAGGGTTTTCAGCAACCTTATGAGTAGTGTGTTACGTCCGGACAAAAACGTATTGCGACATCGTACCAGCTGAAGCATGAAGCAGACTATCATAAACAGGAGATTCCGCTGGATCCATTTGGGTCTTCAGCCAAACCGAATGGGTGTGCAAATGAGAGCGTTTATGGAGTTCCGACCCCCCAACACAAAGAAAGAAAGAAAGAAAGAAAGCGTTCAGCTGTAGCACCCTTCCGGTGCCTAGCTGCCACCCGAAGGTTGCAAAAGGGCTGGGATATTGCCAAATTGCCCAGGCGTAGACAGGGGAAGTCGACAGACAGAGGTCGTGTTCAAACCACGGACCTTCCGGTCAATAAATTTGCGCTCTAACAACTGAGCCATCTCGCCCCAAGCTTGAGAGAAGATGGAACACTGAGGAACAACAGGTTTGCTTGCAGTAGACTAAAACCTCACTTATCGATTATCTCCTTTTGTGCATACCTTTTTTTATCCAGAAATAAACTGCATGGTAGGAAATGTTGCTTATTGCTTGATGGAACAAAAACTTTCGCGCACACCGTGACAGGTGATAAACATTGACTATCGCTCTTTGCTGGGAGATATACATCAAAGTCTGGATGGATGATCGGAGCATCGTGCACCAGGAATTTGCTGGTGTCAAGCCATCTGAAGATAGATAATCAATGGAAGTTTTATGACTTATCGTTCAACTATAGCACCTTTTCGGTGCCCAACTGCCATGCCACTCAGAAGAAGCATGGGGGATGGGATACTGTTAGATTGCGTAAGCCTAGACAGGGGAGGTTGAAATACAGGTGTCGGGTTGGAACCACGGACGTTGCGGTCAGTAATTTCTCGCTTCAACCACTAAGCCTATGAGGACACGAATCAAGGCAGAGGTTGACAAGGTCTCACAAACTGTTCGGCATTTCAGTCGAATCCACCTGAAGTTGAATTTGTAGCAAGTTCCTTTAAAAGTCGAATAGTCTAGTGAGTAGTTTAGTGAGCTCGAGATAGCTCTCTGGTTAAGGCGAGAACTTCTTGATCGGAATATTCGTGGCTCGAACCGATAGCTCGATAGCTCTTGTCATGTCTCTTAGTTCCTGTGCCTTTTTTGGGTGTCATGGTGGTGAGGCACCGAAAGTGTCTTACAAATGAACGATTTCTTCATGAATAGCAGTCCTGAGTCAGGTGAATTCGCTGCGCATTTCCAACACCAGTCAATGCGGCATTCTTCCGAGGCGTGATAGCCCTATAGCAGAACCTGAACTGTTGGCATCTGGCCGCATTGATAGATTGAATTTGTCATGCTCAGCTCCGAAATTGCGCACCCTCAGGTGAGTGTCACAAGGCCCGAGGTGTGCAATACCTTTACGCAACAAATCCAGCTCAGCGAAGTGTCCATTTTTACATTTGCAACACAGTGGTTTTGAAACATGATCGGCAGTTGTGTTGATACAAATGTAACCGACTTTTCGGTGGTAAGACGGACATGTGATTGTCACTGAAGGGGGGGGGTGGCAACTGAGTCTGTGTGGTACACTGAATGTGGTGAAACTCATCAAATTCTTGCCAGACTGCTAGTGCAAGGCATTCGCCCTGACTTTGTACACTTTGCCTCGCCACCTTGTCGACAAGCAGGCTGATGGCGAACTGGAAATTCCCCCCCCCCAGAGCGTCGAAGGACCCTACTCCTCTTCAGGGCCGAGAAATCGTGGATCCGGAAATCAGTTAGACATCACATGACTGATCTTGACCTTATCCATCGTTCTTTCTTCTTGGCTATCAGGAAGCAGCTTTATGTAGTGATTTGTAGTTAGTAGAAGGTATGCCGTTGCAGTAACAGTTTAACCCTTGAGCTGGGGTTATGGTAGTATGCCATGTACCATAGCAACCAACAACCGTTGGGGATTTCGACCGTCAAACAGCATTCTCTGAGCTCGTTTACCCATATCCAGTTTCAGAAGGATTGGTGTGTAAGATTACTGTAGAAAACTGACAGTGATCTTGCGGACTTTTCTGAATTCGCTGAGGCGAGGTTAAAGAGTTTGGGAAACGGGGTTTTCTGACGTCAAATCGATTAGAGGGGATGTGTAACCAGGTCACACTTAGACAGAACATAACGAAGCTGGTTCACGATGGCTCACAAGGAGAAAATGAAGTGAGTGCGGCATTTTTGAAGATTAGGAAAAAAGTTCTGCCGTTAGAAGCTTCTAACTAAATTGGGTGTTTTGATAATCACATCCATTCGTCTATCACTTTAGTTTTCACGCGAGACTCAACTGGAACTTTCGTCTATGATATTCTTCTTAGAGACTTCACAACACACTTCGTTTAGCCGATCTACTGTGATATTTTAGATATTATACCAACTGAAACATGAGGCGACCCGTTGCAGCACATTCGGTTGAAATAAAAAAAAATCGTTCAGCTGTTACACCCTTCCGATGCCTAGCTGCCATGCTGCCCGAAGGAAGCACGAGGGCTGGGATACTGCCAGGTTGCCCAAGCCGCATCGGTGTTGAACACTGATGTCATGCTGTCGATGATGATGATGATAATGATGATGATGATCGCGCTCTTACCACTGAGCCATCTCACCGGGAGATCCAGCTGCATTCAGTTTAATCTACCGTTAAAAACACATTCGAGTGCAAATGAGAGTATTCGTCAAAATTTGCTCAGGGGCACTCGAGGGCTGCGCCTATCTGATGAACCCGAGTTGGAGGAACGAAATTGGTTGACAGTTGCTGAAGAGTTTTCGGATACCTTGTGAGTAGCTACATGTATGAAATGGGTAGTGTTCAATAACCCTTGACCCATTCCGTCGTTAACAGTTCGAAACATAAAACTTCAACGCACTAGTGAAATGAATACAGTATCAACGTGTTGTCTAAATCGAACGACACGTCGCTGTGAGGGGGAATGGTGCGATTCAGTCTCAGGGTTGCTGAATAGCATTAATCAGTAGTATAGTGACAGTATGAACAGGGATTGTATCGCAGGTACACTTGACAGCCAAACACCCCAAGTTTGTTGACCTGATGTGCAGGGACGTCTGCACCAACAGATCTGCAACGTGTTTCCAAAGCATTTGAGAAATATATTCATACAGATGACACCGCGACGGCAAGTGAAGGGGGGGGGGTTGGACAGATCGTTTGGGCTCTGGGATATGCTTTGGATTATTCCAGCTGCTCGATGGTCGACAAGTAAAGACCCCGAAGATGTTTTCCACTCACCAACGTCCCACTTCATGACCACAGCACCACGGATAAGATCCTCTTGGATATTTGCATTGCGTCGTAAAAGGGTCTAACTGTGTTGTGAACAGAACACAGTCGTTTTGAATTTGAAGAGGCTGCTTACGGGCAAGTGCACGGGGTTGGCGATTGTGTTGAATACTGTAGAGAACTCGGTTACGCTGGTTCGTTGCTGACCGGTTTGCTGGACTTGGCAGTTGGATTGCAGACATTTGATTACCAATGCAAATGAAGCCGTCAGCTCGCACTGACAGTCCCACCTCGACTGATGGTAAGACGTTTGCAATCCAACTGCCAAGCTCGGCAAATAACCACTTGAATGGCATGGCTGTCGGTAGACAAACAGGTCCAGCTTTAGCTGATACCATTCTAGTAGAGAAACCCAGTTTGACTGATCGAGCTGTCAACATCTAGCAACTTAAGCCTCCCGACTAGTTTGCTGGAAGCGTACTCAACAGTGGAGTTTGACATGCTCCTTGATGTTGTATGGCGGCATTGAGAGAACTCCTTAGAATGTGACTATCCAGACTGCGAGAGTTCAGCTAAACTTTCGGTAGTTTTTCGTGGTATGCCTTTAAACCCCACTTTTGAAATCAATAAAGCGATTGCAAATGTTTGTGCCGCGTGTGTCAAACGGCCCTCCCCCACCGGAATGTGATTCTTGTGCCCGGTTGCTGACCCACGCCAATAAAATCTGCGCCACTCATTTCCAGACCGTCAGATCTCGGAAACGTAGTTGCCCCGATTGTGATCGTTTGTGATAGACTCAGGAGCAAGCCCCACTACCTTATGGTTCTCAAACGAACGACTTCCTCAAGCGGACAGACAGGGTTTGTATGGCCGTGAATCACTATTGGTCCACACGGCTGATTACGACGTTTTCTTTCGAAACCTCCCGTCGATTCGATCCTGATTTGCCAAGCTCTTGGAGGCTTCGTCTCGTAGCACCAGCTGGGATACTAATTTGGCATAATGATGTACTCGACGCTTCTCGGCGTCTATGTGAGTGCTTTGGTTAATCCCTTCAACTGATTTTTTCTCCGCCGATAAGGCGCCATTAGATGTCCGAACACCTCTTTGCTCCACAGGTGTTAGAACATGAAATGTTTACGACTGAGGTGTAATTTACTTTCCATTGTCGGTGGGTTTCGGTCGGATGCACTGCAACAGTACTTAATGTCCACACCTGATACACGCTTGTAACACCTTAATCCAGAAACAGAGACAGTATCTCAACAAATCCCAAAGTTGTTTTTTGCGTTCTCTTGGACTTCGGTCATCGCCCGTTTGATGTCTTCTTTGCTCCTTCGTTAGTTGCCGGGTCACAACACGGTCCCTGTCCCAGTAACCACCCGCCACCAATGTATCGATAAGCTAAACCGTTAAATTTTCAACTTTCTCCCTCCCCCGGCCTAACAACAGCCTAAAACGTCTTGTGCGGCCAACCAGAGATTTGGAAAGAAGGCGCGAGAACTGTCTGCATGTTTGGATTCAAGAGGCCAAAGGGTTGACGGGACAGCACCGGTAAGTTTGCCCCCCCCCACACACACTTGTTTTTTCGTCTTTTACCTCTGTTTGTCTTAGGGTGTTTGACTATCCCGCATGGTGACTCATACCCTAGAGGAAAGTAATAATGAGTCACTCGGTCCTAGCAGGTGAACTGAAGCATAGAGACAATGGGTCGGTCCAGTCACGATGCAGGTGAGTAGAAAGGCCTATCACCACCTGTCGCGCTCAGTGGGGCGTCAATGGACCAACTACCTGCTGGTGCCTACTAACTGCTGTAAGCAAATTAAGCCACCAGGTAGAACGTATACAATTTCTACCAAGTTTCAGCTGACTTTGTTGTCTTTCAAGTGATCAATAACTGTGTTTACGGTAACAACAAAAACGACCATTCGTTATTCTAACCTCGATTGTTATTTATTTGTGTCATTTGTACGGATTACATGGAAGGTTCTCCGGCTGGATTTCTGGTCAAGCGGTTCAAGCGTATGGTGCAGTTAGACTCCTGGAGGTCGCGAGTGAAATTCGCAGCTCTGAAGGGACGCATACCGTTGCCGTTTTTCACATGGGTCCCTTTTGGAGAGTTACTGCAGCTTCTAAACTTGGAAAGTTGAAAGATGTTTGCTAGACGGGTTGTAATTGGTTCCTGAGATCGTTTGCCGTCACTGAGGCACATCCACATGACCCGTTGACGATCATTCACTCCCTTTTTGTGACAGAATCTCGTGAGTCAGCATATGTGACCTTGAAGTCCAAAGGGGATTTCTCATCTAGTCCGTAAAGGAACAAGCACGGCCCGAAGGTCAAAGTGTTGCGACCACCCCTCGAACCAAGTCCAACATGATAGAAGAGCTTTGATTTCAACATCCGACTAAAAATTGTCCTGGCGCCTAATTACTTTTGAGTTATCTTCAGAATAGGCAGCATCAGATGCCTGGAGCCCCCCCCCCCCAATGTCTCAGATGAGGCTAAACATTTTCTCTGCCTACACAGAGAGTTGGCGCTTCCATGGGCTACAGCGTAGTTGTGATCAAATAGAAGACTTGCGATTTTCTCTTGTTACACCTGAAAGACCTGAAGCCCCCTGTTGTGACTTGATTTACGGTAGTGCAACTCTGTGTCGGTCCCTTGGCTTCCTGCCCCGCCCACTATGGTATATCAAGAGGCACGGTAGCTCTACACAGCCCCTTATGGAGAACAAGGAAAATTATTACAACCGTTTTTATAGGGTAGTCACAGAGTGTTCCACAAGGTCGTGCCAGAATCTCCATGAGGGGGCGAGAGGCGTCGAGTCAAAGATGCTCGACTCGGATTGGCTGGCCAATCAGGGCATGCCTTCGTTTGGTCCGCAATCCGCACGTGACACACCCGTCTAACTGACGCGCTTTTCGGTTATCAGGGTCGGCTGGCCTCCGGACACCCCTGCTCCTGGTCTATCAGTTACAGACACTCACCAAACCCCACTGAGCGACAGGTTGATCATGACTGATGCATGTTATGTTTCAAATTGCATTTGACGGTCATATTTAAAACGCGTGTTTGCTTACTCGTGGAGTTGACTCGTCCACCCCTGTACAAGAAACACGTAGTGTATGTAATCTCTGTTGCTGAGCTAGACATCAGGCCACGTCATCTCTTATCAGTGCGCTGCTCTGATCAACGAACGGATGATTATCGGAGGACATCGTTCAGACAGTGATCAAGTCGTCCAATCAACTGGGTCGTTGATATCATCGCGGTCCGAGACAGTTCATGTGTGAAATTTTCAGGTCTAGAGGTTCTCAGCTCGAGGTAGCTCAGTGGTTAATGGGCGAACTTATTGACCGGAAGGTCTGTGGTTCGACCCCCAATACCAGTCAGTATCTCAACTGTTCTTGTCTAGAGTCTAATGCTTCTTCCAAGTGGCATGGTGGTTGGGCACCGAAAAAGTGTTACGACGAAGAGGACATTCAGAGGGTCGCACTTTGGAAGAAGCCCAGTGATGGGACAAAGGTGTGGACTACCACCAACTGCCCGGCTCCAGAAGCCTTTGGCTTCATCATGGCTAGCTGTTTCAGCTCACAAATCATTATTACAAGCAAGACATTCACCATAATTAAGGAGTGTGTCCACCTGATCGATCACTAAGGCCCGCTTCGACACTTACTGCTGTAGGTAAGTAGATCATCTAGTTCGGACACCGGATGGTCGTAAAAGATTTAGTCGGTATCGCTGGATGCTCCGACAGTCTGCTCCGAAATTCGATGCAGTGACTGCACCAACAGAAGCTCCTGGGATACACATTCTGCTTTCATAGTTGACATCCCCAGATCAAAGTCTTGGTCCGGGGGAATGGACTAATTTAATGACGGTCCACTTGACCGCTCCCAAGCAGTCAGATTTCTTGAAAAATCCATCGCATTGACTACTCCCTCTCTAGTCCACTTTTATTCTTAATGATAAAATATTGCAATTTACTACAGAGTCCCCATTCACGCCACGAATACACCTATTCCCGAGCACTGATTTTTTTGACCATACTACCTTGCGTGTACCAGAAACGGAGAGAATAGCCACTGTTCCCGAATCCTCTTCTTTCCAGGTATCATTGTGAAATTTTACTGGATGGTAAAACGTTTGCTCGGACCACAAGCAAGCTTTCGGGCGATATGCTCTTCTGGGGTGAGGAGTTTGACTTGAGGTAAGTTCCGTTTTTTGCGGGGTAAGCCAGCGTTTTCGTGTCTATCCGAATTCTCCTAAGGGTACCATTTGTTGGGCTTTCGAAAAATCCCTTCCCTGATGACCTTGTCAGCAGTTATCGATTTACCTGGGTCTATTTTGCTGATACTTCAGCGGTTTCAAGTTTGCTACGAAAACGTTTACCTCGAGGCTATCGTGAGCAGACGGACAGAAGAGCAGCAAAACTCAGATATCTTTGGCCAACGAAGGGAAGGAGTGTTGGGTTTTGTGGCAGGAATCTCACCTGAACAAGCTACAAGCCGCGGTCGCTTGGTGAGGTGTTGTCGAGCCATCGTCTGTCATGCCTAGTTCGGAGTGGTGCAAGCAACCTTTGACCTAGGAGGTGGGTGTGAAAGCGATTATGCCATGTCTGGGGTAAGGTATGAGCGAGGTGTGTGTAGTGACTGGAACATGAGGCGGCCTGGTGCAACACATTCAGTTGCCTGAGAACATCACAAACGAGAGATTCAGCTGGGTTCCAGGTGAGTCTCTCGAAAAACCGAATTAGTTTACAAATGAGTGTATATTCGCTAATTTCGTGCAATTTGGTTTCAAATAGAACATAAGGTTGACGGAAACTCGGGGGCTGCGCCTACCTGATGAGCCCAAAGGGGAAGGACGAAACCGGTCGTCGGCTGTCGACGGATTTTCAGCAACCTTATGAATAGTACATTACTAAGGTGTGAAGTCTTCGCGATGGTCTCTATGCCAGCGTGACAGCGACAGCGTACCTACGCGGTCAATATTTGCTTCTCAAATGCTGGTATCTTTGTTTTCCGCACTGAGGAGCTGATTTCCTACTGAGGATATATGAGTTTACTGAGGCTCATACACCAGTAACAAACGCATGAAACCCCGGACGGGTGCGGTTTCTTGCGAATTGCTACGTTGCTGACAAACAAGGTTTTCAAATTAAAGGTAGGGGAACCTTCTGTTTGAAGAGTAAAACCCTTAAGGGACCAGGGCTGTCCGCGTGTCATTTGAACGGTATACCTGAACAGCATTTCTGGTCTCTTCTCCAAGAGGAAGCTTCCAGACCTTTTGTAGCCATAATCCACCGATACGGTGAGCCGGAAACTTTGGTATTTCAAGGTAGTGTCACCAATTCATTGCGACAAGCCGGAGCTGATTGTGTCATGGAGAGAAGGGTGATGACGTTAAATCCAATCAATAAACTTGGCCACCCTGCAACTCAAAGGCTGAATGGTCTCTCTCAGATACTGTTAGATCATTGGGGTGGAGATGAGAAAAACGAAAATTCGTATTTTGTAATACACTACCATAAGGTTGCTGAAAACTCCTCGACAGCCCACTACCGGTTTCGCCCTTCCAGTTCGGGCTCATCAGGTAGGCGCAATCCCCGAGTTTCCGTCAACCTTATGTTCTAATTGAACCCGAATTGATCTGTTTTCGAGAAATACACTCATTTGCAAACCAATTTGGTTTTCACGAAAGACTCAAATGAATCTCTCGTTTATGATATTCTACAACTGAATGTGCTGCACACATGCCACCTCATGTTTCAGTTGGCACGATACTCGAGATATCGCAGTATATTTCCATAAAGAAAACTACTCACAAGGTTGCTGAAAACTCTGACAGCCCACGACTGGTTTCTCCCTTCTTGGGGCTCATCAGGTAGGCGCAGTCCCCGAGTTTCTCTCAACCTTACGTTTTACTTGAGTCCGAATTGCACAATTTGGCGAAATACACTCATTTGCAAACTAATTTGGTTTTTCGAGAGACACGCCTGGAACCCAGCTGAATCTCTCGGTTTTATTGTTTCAAGGCAACCTACTTGATGAGCCCCAAGAAGGGCGAAACCGGTCGTGGATGTCGAGGCGTGGGATGTCGAGGAGTTTTCAGTAACCTTAGGGTACTGCATTACAAAATATATATGTATCGCGATATCTCGAATATCGTACCGACTGAACTGATTGCCTGGGTTCCAGGTTAGTCTCTCGAAAAACCAAATTAGTTAGTGAAATTCATATTGTGCATCGTAAAATTCTCAAATTTCATCTGTAATCTGTGTTTTTAATGCATTCCTGATGAAGACGTGTCATAACGTCTTTAGTTTACGAGGGACTAACCCAGAGAGAGAGAGAGATGACTAATACGAACAACATACTTTCTCATTCTGCAATAAAACAGAAAAAAAGTTAGTTGGCTGTAAAAGTCTCCAGTACGAATGTGACACTCAGTCCTGGTGTGATGGAATTCGCACCCTGTATATCGATGGAGTGTAACTGTGTATACTGATCGCGGCGTTACTACTGACTAAGCTATTACTATGGGGCGACATGGCTCAATCGGTTAGAGCGCGAACTGACTGACCAGAAGGTCCGTGGTTCGAAGCGGACCTCTGCATCTAGGCTTGGGGAAGCTGGCAGTATCTCAGCCCTCATGCGACCTTCCGGTGGCGTGGCAGCTAGGCACCGGAAGGGTGTTACAGCCGGACGATTTATTATTTATTACTTGACCTATTACTGTTTTTCTGGTTAACTGTCTGTACTAGAATGAGGACCACGAGAAAAGTAAACAGCACGTGATGGATTAAGCGTAACTCTGTCGTGCTACCAGACCTAAATATTATTTACCCATAGTCTGCCACTTCGCCCATGAAGTTGCAGTCCAGGTATGAATTTACCTCGAAATCTCATCCTGCAAGTGAAGTTGCTGAAAAGCCGAAGAGCGTCTTCATCCTTCGTTAGGAATAATGCGAAAAAGTCGAACCCGCGACCTACCGGCTAGTAGCTAGGTAGAGACACCGCCCACATGTAGGAAGAAATTACCGCTGCTCGGTCCTCACCTATACCATGTGATCGGTGTAGGTTGACCGCCCCCTCGAGTAACAACTTTCCAGATGGAAGGAACATACGGCTTGTGAGGTGTTTTCCTCCAATAACAGATTACTTGCAATTTGATAGTAGCATTGGCTTTCGTTCGCAAGCGGACATTGAGTCACAACGCACACACCAGGAAGCAATAGTTTTCGAAATATCCGGTTATTAGTAGCCGCACAGGGTCATATCTTGTGCCCGGGAAATGAATCGTCCTTGTGTGGAAATCGATAAATGGGGATAGATTTCATTTAACTTTTCCTCACTTTTGAAGCAGTAGTTTGCTCATCCGATTCAAATTTCTCCTGTGAATTCGCCACATACACTCTGCTGATGAGCTGCAGTGTACGGATGATCAGCCACATCGTCCAACCACAACACACTACTCACAAGGTTGCTGAAAACTCTTCGACAGCCCACGACCGGTTTCGTCCTTCTTGGGGCTCATCAGGTAGGCGCACTCTCCGAGTTTCCGTCAACCTTATGTTCTACTTGAACACAAATTGGACTGTTTTCGAGAACTACACTCATTTGCAAATCAACTTGGCTTCTATGAGAGACTCGACTGAATCTCTCATTTATGATATTCTACAACTGAATGTGCTGCACCAGGCCACCTCATGTTACAGTTGGTAAGATATTCAAGGTATCGCGGTACATTGTCTAAAGGTAACAGTTCATTTAGCTAGTATACCGTGATATCCCAAATATCATACCAGCTGACAAATTAGGTGGCTTGGTGGAACACATTTGTTTGAAGCGGGCCGTTATGAACGAGAGATACATCCCCATCGGACCTCACCATGGAATAGTGAGCTTCATGCACTCAAGATGACTGACTTGGACGTGTTCTTTGGTTTCTCGTCTACACTGCATGGCGAGGTCTGTCGGTCCACGAAAACAAGCGTTCCCCTATTTTTGCTAGGCCCGATCACATGGGTTCAAACCGGTCACTTTTAATCGAAATGACAAGCCCAGCTTCCGTGTTGTTGTTCGGGGGGAGACCGTGCACACATCATCATCGAACGTGCATTCTTCCGCGTAGGATTTGTAAACACACCGGCTGCCATGGTGCGCAGTAAATTTGAATTTTTGTGGCCTCATTTGCATTCCAAACAGTTCAATTCAGCCGCGGGAGGCCATAATGCGAAATCAGTTACGCCAAGAACAAGAGAAGTCGGTCTTGTTGTTCGTTTGTGCACTGCTTCTTAAAGTCACGCAAGTTTCTGGTTTGTAGTTCATCACCACACTAAACTGATTTTTATACCCCACGAGAATTTCACTGTCCGCAACTCCTTTAAGGGACCCTGGCGCTGGCTGACATGAAATTCCCGAGAGCGACGGATATCGATAGGAGAAAATGGGACAGTTGCCGCGTTTTAATCGGTAGATGTAGGGCATACTAAATGTCGCTTCAGTACGAACATGTTTACTCATTCATCTGACTAAATCGCGTCTGACGTGCATTGATTGGTTGCTACGTTTGACTCACAGACTCAAATTTCAAATCCCCGCACGACTAATGAGTTGGAACGCAACCCGATTCCACCGCTCTCTACGGATAAACCGGTTGAACGAGAGTGCGTTGAGTGCGAACAGGACACAAAAGTGTTCTTTATTTTTTCGCATGGCTTCATGTGAAGATGCCAATGAACAATCAATGCTTCTGGTGGTTGATCAGATGGCAGTTGATCTGTTCGCCGAGCCTGGCAACTGGCTTGCAAACGTTACGTCCCCAGTCGAGGAGACATCATCATTGCGCACTGACGATGTTTTCCCGACTGAGTACGAAACGTTTGTAAGCCAACTGCCAATTTCGGCGAACAGATCAGATACCATTTGACCAACCACCAGTAAACACACCCGAGCTACCCATGTAAGGGTGATACTACTGATGGAAGAGGCATGCGAGTAGTATGGTTTCTTCTTGTAAATTCGCTTTGCTTCTCGTTGCAAGAAATGCGGCAGTTTTTCATCCGATTCTCGCGCTAAAACTTGAAGACCAAGGTTCGACCATGGTTACGTCTTTTCGACGAAGTACTCGGGAAGCGCGTGTTTGATGACACAGCCGACACTGTAATCGAAGGATGAATTCAGCTCCGTAATCTGCGGGAGCTTGCTAGGATACTCTTGAGCTACATAAACCAACTTGTTGTTTGTGTTGTGTTTTCTGTGCTAGACATGATCATCGATTTTACCCCTTCCTTTGGTAGGAGTAAAATTACTAAATAGAGGAACTCTTGGTATGAATTGTTCTCCACGATCACACCCATATAACTGGCTTCGTGACTGTCTAGACAACAGCAAGGAGCGGGTTGAAGGAACTGAAAATTCACCAATTGGGCGTGAGATTTATCGAAGTTCTGGAATTGTGCTCATCCGATAAGGGGCAACCTGGTTTCAGCGACTTCATGAGTAGTATCATGTGGGGGAAACCGTGATGATTTTCTGAAGCATAGCCATTGTTATGTTCTCTACTGATCAGTCAACCAACCTTGTCAGTTACACACAGAATTGAGAAGACAAAAAGCCTTGATGAAATTATACTGCAGCAACTGAACAGCCAATATCGAGATTCGAAGGATCAAGAATGAAATGGAACAAAACAGTCCAATGAAAGGCTGAAATAAAGAGAGAGATGTTGAGCAATATGTTCGTTAGGAGGAGTGCCTCCTAACGCCTCCCCTTTGAACTCATTGTTCGTACGACTGGAGTTGTGGGTTCAGTTGCATTCGTATGACAGGCTTTTTGATCCGGTCGGTCCATCTTGTGGGTGTACAACTTTTGGAAATTTCTGGTTCATTCGTCGGCTCTGGAGATTTTGGCTTTTGAGCTGACTCAAATGTGTCGAGAAGAGTCCCCAGTGGAAGAACAGGGTCGGGTGTAGGTGCCGCTGGAAGATAGGAAGCGCGTGGCTGATTGGCATGACGGACCCAGATAGAGGAGCCTACATTTACCTCATAGACAACTCTTCCGGCACGGCGCACAATTATGCCTTGTGCCCACTTTTCCGCGCCACCACGATAGTCTTCCGCTAGCACAGATTGGCCGGGTATAAATATGTTCTTTGCAGCACCGTGATGTCGGTTGAACTGAACTTCCATATTTATGNTAACATTTGGTGTCGCCAACTAACTCAGCAGAAATGTCTCGATGATTTCCGGCCTGGTTCCCTCAAATCGAAGGACGCTTGATGACTAAGGTGATAGGTCACCAATTATCAGCCACTTATACAAATTTATCGAACTCAGCACGAGGTAGCTCTGGTTTGCGGAATTCATCGGCCAAAGAATGACGAAGTTGTGAGTGACGCTTCCCGCTCAGTTTAAGGATGATGATGCCACTGATGATTTTGTTATTGACAGTGGTGAGAGTAGCGATGACAGCAATGGTTCTTAAAAGCCTCCATGTTCCGGATCTTTTCCAGATATGCCCCGCTACTAATGCAAAAAGTACATGTGCAGAAAGTTAAGCCCCGCCACTTTTTGTCAGCTCCAGTTTAACGTAAGCGCACAACCTTGACCTATTTTTGATGAAAACAATCCCTTGTCCGCATCTAGGCCCATTTTGTGCAAAAAGTTTTCTCCGTTTGGACGTAAACCCTTAAATGAACTTTCTGGCGCTTTCAACTCTCGTTCATGACAAGGAGACAGCAATGCGTTTTTTGCAAAGCCACGGAGCGATGCATCAGCAACGTTTATGCAACAATGGCCACCAAATGGCACTTTTAACTGTTTCTGAGAGGTGGAGATGTAATGCCCGACAGTGTCGGTAGGAAATCGACATTCGAGAGGGAACTTGGCTGGAGCGGTCTAGGATGGGGTTTAGGACAGTAATTCTATCCATTTATTGCTGGTCCGAAAATTTGGCAAAAATCAAATTCTGCTCAGAGGAATTATCTATTAGCCACACGACTGCTGTTGACTCATGAAATAGTTAATCATACTAAAAACTTTGTGTTTGCGACGACTGGAGCTCACACACAATCCATCGAATCTCAATGGCACGTCTACAAGATGCAAAATAAACGCCAATAAGGTACACACCGATCTTTGGTGGACAGCTACTTGTGTGAGTTCGTTTGGAGGCAAAAGTAGCGAAAACTGACCTTTTTATGCAAATTATCAATGAGAAGTCCCAATTTCACCCTCTTCAATGAAAACTAAAAGTACGAATTTCATATACTCCCTTTTCTAATCTTTGGGTGGCGGGGGCTAATTTTTTGGCGGGGCCTATCTGGGAAAGATCACATGTTCCGTCCCCGTTAACTGACTAATTGACTGACCGTTTTCCTCTTCAATATTTCTTTCCCCTCTCTAGTGGTGTTTCCGAGTTCACCACACTTTCCATCAAGTTATTCCGCGATTCAGAGCACACTGGATCCAGAGACTCGTCAGCTAGTCGACATCATCGGACCATGTCCAATCCACATCTCCCTGGTCAGCGTCCTCATCAATCCCTTGTGCTTAGTCCATCCCCAATGCGAAGGGACGTGGCTGGCCGCACAGGAATGTTGGGACCTGATGAATTTGTGTTCGAGGAATCCCCTCCCTCACCTAGTTTGTACACATCCCATGGAAAGGCAAGTCGTAACAAGGGTGCTGCGGGGACTGTCGGGAGGAAGGCGGCCGGGAAACATGGCAAAAACAAACGATCAAAGCATGCAACCTATTCCAGTTTGATTGGTAAGTACACTTCCCGCGTTCCCGGTTTTATACCTTGCTCAAAAGTGACAGATCAGTGCATCAACACACAAAACCGGACTCCTGCTTCGAACAGTGGTCCGTTTCGGATCCCTCCTGATCGAACGATCGCCCATAATGAGCTCTATTAATGAAATCTATTAAGTAGTATTTCATGAAAGTAGTGTGACTGTTTCGGCAACTGACAGAATGCCCGTTCATGAAACAGATTTGGAAAAACACCTATATTCTGATGTGTGGATATGAAATAGGTTGGAATTTGATCTGCAAATCTACCCACTGTCTTCAGCCGTTTTCAAAGCCTTCGTTTCACCTCTCGCTAGAAATAGAAAGTACTTGCATGACCACATTCCAAGCAACCACATCACCTTTCGTTTCTTGTCCAAACCAACGTTCTGTTGCCTAAATCTGTCATTTTTTTGCAGCTTGGTCGTATGGTTTCGATCGATTTGTCATCTCTGCGGAAAATAGTTCCCACGTGACTATATATTGATGTTATTCATTTGGTGAGAGTTCCTCCCGGCAGTTTCGTGTTGTTTGTTACTCATACCATTCTTTCCTTCCAGCTACTGTGATAATTCCTCCAGAGGCGCTCGCAACAACTTCGGAATTAGAATCTTGGTACCCGGTCACCAGGGTGGAAGGAGATAGTACGCCAACAACAGGAAGTCGACACAAACGCTCTCATGCCAGCGAAAGTGGTAAATCACGCGGAGCAAAAGAACACCACCTTTCCAACGGGCTTTGCCCGACTGTACAGCTACGCATCAAAACTCGACATCGATGTGTTACCGTACTTCCACTTACGGATTATGCTCGCCTTCAACATCATCTGGCTCGTTTTCAGCCACCGTTGCGTCCTCGTACGTCAATAACCGAACAACCCTCTTCCTACCTGAGCTCAGAAGTGATCCCCCAAACCTCAACGGACTCTGCCCTTCTTCTTGCCAGTTTGGATCCGTGGCTTGGTGTGAAAGCCAAGGCAGAACTCGCTGGTTCCGTGGTTGCATTGCATCAGGCGCTCGGGCAAGCAACCGACTTCCTGGCCGTACTCATTCTACATGAAGTCTACAAACAACGTGAGTTATTTGTAATGCGCTACTCATAAGGTTGCTGAAAACTCCTCGACAACGCACGACCGGTTTCGCCCCTCTTGGGGCTCATCAGGTAGGCGCAGTTCCCGAAGTTCCCTTAAGCTTGTTCTACTTGAACCCAAATTGGACTGTTTTGGAGAGATACACTCATTTGCAAATCAATTTGGTTTTCACGAGAGACTCAAATGAATCTCTCGTTTATGGTATTCTACAACTGAATGTGCTGCACACAGGTCGCTTCATGTTTTAGTTGGCACAATATTCGAGATATCACAGTATATTTTCACAAAGAAGGCTACTCACAAGGTTGCTGAAAACTCTTCGACAGCCCACGATCGGTTTCTCCCTTCTTGGGGCTCATCAGGTAGGTGCAGTCTCCGAGTTCCCCGCAAACTTATGTTCCAGTTGAGACCAAATCCCACGAAATTGGCGAGATACACTCATTTGCAAATCAATTTGGTTTTCACGGGAGACTCAATTGAATCTCTCGTTTGTGGTGTCTCTAAGTAACTGAATGCGCTGCCCTACTGGGCGTCTGTTGTCCTTTGCTGACCTTGGATCATGATTGGTCGTTTGAGCCCGCAGTCCTGTTGCCCAGTTCTAACAAATCCGTGCCTATGTTATGCTTGTGCTATTGCACTTAGAAGTACACTTTTTCAACCATCTGATCGCACGGACTCAAACTTTGACCTTTCTAAGTTGGTCCCACTGACTTCGCCTGACAGCACGATCAACTAGTTTCGGATTGTTAGACGCATCCACTCGACATGAATGCCGCACTGGACGTTGAGGTCATATCACCTGTTGGTGTAAACTGACACTGGGCTGTTCGCATCTGGCATCACACTCAGACCTTCGCAAAAAGGGGACGTTTCAGAGAATGGGTTCAGTTCAACCTAGAGGAAATCAAACAACAGTTGATACGCAACTTTAGGTCCCGTGTTTGTTTTGGGTGTGCACATGTTCTAAGCAGTCTTGTGTCCACGTGAGGTATCGTGTTACACACGAGCGTCACGAAATCAGCGCTTTATCGGATCACTATCGCATCGGTGACGAGGCCTTTTGTGACCGTAGCACAACGTCCTTTCATTGGACTTGACCAGCCACATGGTGCTCTCTCTTCTCAAGAAACCTTCACAAGCAAGGAGCTCGGAAAATAAAAACGAAACCCATTGGTGGGTCAGCGGTTGTGAGGTCGAGCCAACTTGAGGGAATTGCTGAAGTGTATGGGGTGGGGTAAAAGTGGCATTGGTGAACTGCCGATTGGCCCCGACCTGTGTTTTCACTGTGGGATGAAAGGCATAACCAAGAGTCCTTTGTGGAACGTAGGTGCCTGACGTTGATTGTAGTGAAGATCTCGGAAAGACAGTGGACTGGGTATTCTGAGTAAGGCGGACATAGCCAAAATGAGCTCCGTCGCTGAAAAAGTTTCCGGAGTTCCCTTGGTGGACTGGTTGTTGGCCAGCTTGATTGGTGGTACTCCATTGCCTTTTGTAATATGCTGTCATTTTTGGTGTCATCTCGGACCGCGTCAAAAGTCACCGGTAGTTGGCTCATGGTCTCCAACACCACAGCACGGACTTCCGGTTCTGATTGGCTCCGTTCGCTTCGTGACCTCCGGGTTTGACTGCGTCTTTGGCTAGCTTTCCGCGTCCGGCACTGGCTTTCTTTGTGCCCACGTCGACTGCACACTGAACATTTGTGCTTTTTATACCGACACAATCGCACAAAATGCCATTCGCCGCATTGCCAGCATGCTGAAGGGGGCTTTGCTCCGTTCGAATTCGTCAGCACGGGAGGTTGCCTCGATGTCGTCTTGACAATGTTGAAAACAGGGTTAGATATTCCTTGTGACAGACTCTGTTAGTAAATTCCCCCTGGTACCAGCAGTGTACCATTAATCGAGCAGGGAACGGAAAGCAACTAAATCACTAGCGGACGAACGGGAGTTAGTTTGCCACAGTGACCTCTTTCGGCCCGCTAGATGACTGATGAAGGAGTCTACCCAGACGAGACAAAACCCCACGGATGACTGTCAAATGATCCAGCACGATGACATCGCGGTGACCGCCTGATGGTTCCTCCATCGAATTGTTCCTCTCCTGCCGAGAAATCAAGATGGTGTTTGTCCAAGCTAAACAGGGCGAGGTGGTCAAAGTAGAACAGCACACCTTGTGAACCATGATCGGTGGCGATGCCTACTTCAAAACGGAGAAATATAGTTCACATTCAGAAATGCTTCGTACTGCAATCACGGGAGCTCTACTTGAAGCAGTGCGCAAGAGCAGCCTTGCATATCTCGGTACCTGGTGTGTGAAATTGGTGCATAAGCGTCTGGTGTTTCAAAGGCGAGGCTCATATAAGTCCCGTCATTCTGCTTTTCTTCAGGGTTTCACCTGGATAATATATCTGAGTGAAGAAGAGTGCCAGTGATTCCGAATGGCCTGATCAAGCCAGTTACTGACAAAATCAGACAAACTAAATTGCAGATTACTGCCTTTTTTCGGTCAAAATGTTGTATCCTCGAGTTCGGTGGATGTCTGATTCTGTTGAACAATTATCCCTTGAGTTTTATTCACAATGTGTTTCTTCCCCCCCCCCTGGTTGCAGCCGATGCTAATATGGTTCTGCGCGGAAACAGCATAGCGACAAAAGCCATGGAAATCTACCTACGACTGGTTGGAGAAGATTATCTCTGCTCCATCCTCTCCGAATTCGTCCGCACAGTATTGGCCAGCTGTTCTCAGCAGGGCAGCTATTCACCGACAGAACAGTCTGCAAAAACTGCGAAATCTTCAAGACAGACCACACAATTTTTCCTCTCCGACTCGTTCCTCGATTGCGAAGTCGATCCGGCCAAGTTGCAGAACTCCGCCGGTCAGCTCAACCGAAATCGATCGAATCTACTCCGATTAGTGGAATTGGTGTGGAGCAAGATTGTTGCTAGTGAGCCCCATTTCCCCAGGTATGTTTTTTGTTCGCATGTAAGTAAGCTATCTGTTTTCCTCTCATGATTACGAACCCGAAGATATTTAGTTGGCAGTTTGGTGGAATATTGGCGGTATATTCACTGGTGGGGGCAAGATCGCTCAAGTAGTTAGGGTGCGAACTTAGTGCCCGGAAGGTCCGTAGTTCGAACCTGACCTCTGCATCTCGACTTCCCCTGTCTAGGATTAGGCAACCTGGCAGTATCCCAGCCCTCATGCTTCCTCCGGGTGGCGTGGCAGCTAGGCACCGGAAGGTTGTGACAGCTGAGCGATTATTTATTTTATTATTTATATATTCACTGGTATTTGATGAGGTGACTGTTGGTTTTTCGGTTAGCCTGGCAGCTGACTCGCAGACGTTTTATCACCATTCGAGGAGACAGCATCACCGCGCACTGATAACAACTTCCTGAATGGCCGAATATGGTCCGAACTATACTTAAGACGCAGAGCAAAACTGTCCGAAGTCGTGAAACGCGATGTTTAAGATACGATTTCACTTTTTACAAGTCCTCTGAGGCTGACACAACTGTTCAGTGAGTGGATCGACTTGTAGATCACAACGGCGGGGTTGTCTTCCAGCGGGTTCGATTTTATTTAGCTTTCCACTCGAGTTTGAGACAGCTCAGTCGGTAAGGCGCCAACTTACTGACCGGAATGTCCGTGATTCGAACCCAACCTCAACTTCTCCACTGCTCCTGCGCAGCCCTCAGCCTTTGCACTTCCTTCGGGTGGCACCGAAAGTGTGTTGGAGCTGAACAAGCTTCGTACACTCTGCACATGCAAATCGCGCACCAAATGACGTCATAATCTTGTTTAGGTTATCTGATGTGACATTCGTTCCCAGAGGTTCATCTACGTATTCAGTCAGGTGGCTAAAAAACCGCATTAGGGGTTGTGCTCCACATATCACTCGTCACCTACACTTTATCGTACGTTCGTCATATGGAGCTGGAAATATAGAATATTCTCTATCATTGAACGAGATAGACCAAGTGGTTAGAGCGCCAATTTACTGACCGGAAGGTCCGTAGTTCGAACCCGACCTCAGCACCGCGACTTCCCCTGTCTAGGATTAGGCAACCTGGCAGTATCCCAGCCCTCGTGCTTCCTTCGTGTAGCATGGCAGCTAAGCACCGAAACGGTGCTACAGCTGAACGTGATTGAACCATATTTTTTCCCAAGCAGGATATGGTTTTTGTGTGACCTTGATAACGGCTGTTTTCGGGTGTACTTCTGATAACCGATTTCTCTCACGGGTAAATAAAGATCAGTCATCCAGCTGGTGTCACATGAGACCGATGACGTTCCGCAGCTTATTGATTTCACTTTATCTCGACTTCATTCTGTCCTTGTTCTCTGTCTGTCTGTCTGGAATAACGCATGAGAATCGAACAAATATTGGTATGTCATAGTTCATTATGCATGAACCAGTCAGCTTTTTATATCGAATCGTATGCTGATCAGAACCGAGCATTGGTATTCAGCCAGCGTGGGAATTCACGCGTGCAAATAGTGTGCAAGTGTGTGTGTGTGTGTGACATCGAGTCGAAACCGAACTGAACTCCGATCGTTCTTAATATGGTTAGGAGCCCGTGAACCGAAAAGGGGAACTGCCAGCCCGACGATCACACAGTCTCCGTACAGCAACTGTCGCTGATAGCGGAAAGCAGGTGGCCTTGCAAATATCAGACAGTGTCGGACTACCCATTGCCTGTTTGTAGTGAAGTCAGTTTGTTTTTCATCTGTACCTAATACAACAAAGTACACGTGCGTTCAACACAGTTTGTTTGTACTGGTGGCCGATCGTAAACTGCGCAATAGATTTGGCTGAACTGCGTTTGTTTGACCAGTCCAGTGAGCCCGAAGTAAACAGTACTGGTCAGACAACAACAAGTGTCCAGATTCCGTCCCTCGTGTACGTCGATCAGCTGATTGATCGCGCTCCGTTTAAGAGTGTGGAGGAGACGACAGAACTTGGACTGATGCCAATGCGCTTTTGCGAAGCAAAGTTGAAACCTGCTTCTTTTTGTTAAGCGTCAACACTTATTGTTATACAAACAAATTACAAGTTTGAAAGCAGTCCAAACAGTCCCCGCACTGTCCCCCGCAGTTTGACTTTGGTTGCAGCAGCTTTTGCGGCGAAAAGTATCGTTTCGGTATTCCAACTTCAAGTTGGAATCGACCTGAAGAGCACTCACAGCTGTGACGTAGGGTGGTCGCCTTTGAATGGGTTACTATACACACGTTTACTAAGGTACTGTCAAAAGAGACTCCGTAATGTTGCTGGAATTGTCCTGCCCCCCCTCCGTGGATTAGTTAAAAACTCACCGACACCATCGCATTCTAGAGCATCCCCATGTAACTCCGTCACTGGGATCACGACCGGGAGCCGACCAAACAGTTCGGAAGGACGTGATCTCAAGAATGCCACCTTAATCTTGAGGTGTCCTTCCAAGGTTTGCTGATTCCACTCGATTTTCGGAAGCTATCCAAGTTAGATTTTGGAAACTTATATTGGTGCATTGTATAAAACATTACTCGAGCTCTATTAGTCTTGTGAATTCACTTATATTCACTTTTATGTGAACTGCTGTGCCCTTTTTTGTGGGAATGTTCAAGGGCACGCTTCGGTACGAATTTTTACCAAACAACATTGACTATTTCAGAAAGGCTTGGTAAACAATCGATAGTTTTTTTATTTGGGCAACGTTTCGCTTTTGACAAAAAAGCTTCATCAGGCCCAGTCAGAAGGTCACCAAGTTGGTCAGGCTTTGAGACAGACGGGGAACCAGTCAACAAGTCCTCTTCAGATTATCACACTAGATCAGTGTTGAGTGTCAACTAACGGCTGCTGTCGGCTAGTGTGGTTGCCAAAATGTTGTGTTGATGGTTTGAGGCAGTTTCAAATTAGTCCCGATCAGGCTCGGTGCATTAATCTTCCACTTCATCATGCTTCAACTGATGATTCACTAGGAGGCCGCCGGTAGAATTTGTTGATCTTTGCGGGCTTGTGAGAGTTGCGACAATTTAGCCGGTGGAAGGAAGGTGGGTGAGGCTACGTAGAATTCAGATGGTGACTACGCCTCCTTCTGATAATCGCACACCAACGCATGCCAGCTCGACTGATCCTCCACACACTTGCCAGTTCCACACTTTCCATTTTGTGAACACTGGGATGCTTGGCGATTTCTACTGCCTCGACAATCAGTCTCTGTGATGTGGACCGCAGTCCTCGCCTCAAAACCTCAACATTTTCTAAATCTATTTTGTGTCCCGTGTCCAGTGCACATTCCACCATTGCCGGGTCTTCCAGTAACGCTTGATATTCATCTGCGTTTCTCGGCGGCCTGTTTATTTTTCTACTGTGCTCTCCGATTCTGGCGTGAAGTTCTCTGGCTACCTGTCCTATACAGACCTTAGGGCAGCCGTTACCTGCTTCTGTTCATCGGGAGGCGATCCTTCAATCGCTCCAGTACAGAGCGCAGTGTTTCCTTTCTGGAATGGCTCAGGTTTAGTCATGGGGTCACTAGAAATCTGAGCCTTTAAAAGTAACTTTTCGAACTTACGGATTTGTCTTGGTTTGCATCGTTGCCCTTGGATGACCTTCACTTCTGTCGCTTTGGTGTTGAGTAACTAGAAGTCTGTGGGTGAGAGCAAGGTCTAAAGGTCTTGAATGACTTGACCGACTGTTATAGTCTGTAACCCATCTAGAACAGTCGTAAAAAGTTGATGAATCAAATGATCTATGAAGGGAACGGGGTATCGTGAGCAAAAACCCATACAGCCAAAGGTTCCTTCAGTAGCTAATGAGAGAAGTTTTCGAGAATTACACTCATTTGCAAATCAATTTGGTTTTCACGAGAGACTCAAATGAATCTCTCGTTTATGGTATTCTACAACTGAATGTGCTGAACGCAGGCTGCATCATGATTCAGTTGGCACGATATTCGAGACATCGCAGTATGTTTTCATAAAGGAAACTACTCACAAGGTTGCTGAAATCTCTTCGACAGCCCACGACCGGTTTCGTCCCTCTTGGGGCTCATCAGGTAGGTGCACTCCCCGAGTTTCCGTGAACCTTATTTTCTAACTGAACCCAAATTGGGCTGTCTTCGAGAAATACACTCATTTGCAAATCAATTTCGCCTTCACGGAAGACTCAACTGAATATCTCGTTTATGATTTTCTACAACCGCGCCTACCTGATAAGCCCCAAGAAGGTGAAACTCGGTCGTGGGCTGTCGAAGGGTTTTCAGCAACCTTGTGAGTAGTGCACTACGAAAAATCCACTTGTTATTGCTACAATAAATTGCGCATACAATGAAGAATAGGGTTGATCGTCGATCTGGTTGATTTATCACTCAAGTTGTTCCCACAGTAAAGCCAACGAAATGGACAATTCCTCAACAGATGATAACATCCTTCACGGAAGCCCTATTTTTCACTGTCCGATGAGATTAGGACCCGTAAGATTACTAAAAATAGAAGTAAAAGTTATTTGACCGGAAAGTTGGAAAATGTTGGTGATCATACACACGTGAAACGACCGAGATACATTTACTGCTCGGTTATCGTATGTAGAGGCGATTCCCATTACAGAAAGTTCCAAAGCACCACAAAGGTGTCTCCTTTGGGGCTACTGTCCTTATAACACGCTATCCATTATCATCTAATGGATCAAATAGGGTCAGTTCCCCAAAGATCGCATCTACTTAGGAATTTAGTGGTTACCTACAGGCTGCGTTGCTCATTTTTAGTAATCGCTATCCTAAACTATCTATCGACGGAACATACTACTCACAAGTTTGCTAACTGTTTGCCTACTAGATTGGAACGGATGGTTTGTCAAGACAGTGACATACTGCGATAGTTCGAATAACATACCAACCAAATCAAGAAGCAGTCAACACATTTGTTTCAAGAATATCGTAAACGAGAGAATCAACTGCCGTAGGCGCACTGAATTTATGCACTA